AGAAGCCAGTACGGAAGAAGATACATCCCATAAAATTAAGTGTTTTTGTTGAATTTTAATTTTGTGTTTGTAAATCCTGTACACTCAATTAAGTTATTATTAATTAGCTATTGGTTTAATTTAAGTGGCTATTGTTTGTAATGACAATACTAAGGAAGGGGCAGTGTTACGACAGCGGAAGTCACGTGACCCTGGTAACACTTAATGAGTATCTCGAAGGTTCGTGAATGCTCGGGTGTTTGCTAGATATGCTGTATTCTAATATATAAGCCTGACAATCAATCGGAATGGACATAGCAGACAGAGAGATTGAAGATATAGACGGACAGTTGAGCACGTGAATCGTTCGTTGAGAATTATAGCGTGTGTTTAAGTTAAACTGACTGTGGAAATTAAGTGTATTGCAAAGTTGTATTGAGAAAGAATAAACTAGTTTTATTTAAGAAAGGACATGTATCGCTGAAGTTCTTCGGAAAGAATTTTTACAAGTAATTAACAAACGACCAGAGACGTAATAATATGTTAGGTTACTACACAAACATATTATCTTGTCAAATGGGAAGACATATAGGAAATTGCCTACAATGGAGGACATAAGATAAAAACATCTCCCACTCCGGTTTTAGTGTAGTCATCTATAAACACGTAAGATAAACTGGCTCCAGTGTAGTCAACTTGGACCACATATGATAAAACATCTCCAACACTTATCTCGGCTCTTTCAAGTATACTTACATAAAGAACGGACAATTGTCTCTTTAGCAGCAGTCGTAACATCTAAGCAAATACCCTACATACACGTTGCTCATATTATTCTGAGTGTAATCAGCCGAGAATAAATAGTTTTCAAATATTTTAAACACTGTTATTAATATTAAGATAGATATTACCCATATTGTTCTCTTTGGTATCAGCTATTTCATTGAATACAGAATTGCGATATACAGGCACTCTCCCATACTGAAGTTAGTGGTATCCACTACGAATGTACTGAAAACACATTACCCTCTGAGGCCAGTATTGTTTCCTAAGAATATACTGTACGGACACTCCATACACTGAAAACAATACTGACAACTTGAAATATGTTGTAAACACTCTCCACTACGGGGCCAACACTGTCAACTTGAAATACGTATTATAGATACTTCCTACACTGCGACCAATGCTGACGACTTGAAATACGCTTTATGGACACTTCCTACGCGTGGTTCAGTGTGTGGTGTAGGAATATACTGTAAATATTTTTCTTTCTGCAGTATTAATATTTATTCTGAAGAATTTATAATTCTGAATGTATGTATGGTTCACATAATACGTGGTCAGGGAAATTCGTTAAGTTGATCTACTTTTAAGTCAACTTGTTTCTTTGTTATTCTCACAGTTAGGTTATCCTGTTACTGCCCATGTAGAACATTGCTAAATGTGGCCTTGTTTGTTTTGAATTTCGAGTAAAGTTACTCTAGGGCTACCTGCTCTATAGCTATCCTTAATTTTGGAGTGATAGACTAGACTGTAGGCAAATAATCAACATCATCCCCAGCCAATTCTTAGGCTACTCTTTACCAACGAACAGTGAGATTGACCGTCATATGATAACGCCCTCAGTTGAAAGGGCGAGTATGTTTTGGGATGGGATTCGAACCAGTGGCCCTCAGATTGCGAATTGAGGACCTTTATCTTGTGTAAGGATTAAGTTAATAATGTCCTTCAACGTTTTTTCAGGTAAAGCCTAGAGGTTAATGTCTCAAGTATGTATTCTGAGAATAACTTGTTATGTGGTAGTGCTAACCGAACAATATAAATACAAGGTTTCTTCAAACCTAAATCAATGTGCACAAAGCAAATCAAGGCATAAAAACAAAGATGATTCTAGATAAGTACAGTAAGAAATTTTGTATCCTGCAATCTGACTAAATCCTTAGTCCGGCGAACAGGTAATACATTGCTTTTGTTATATTAATTTTTGTTCAGTCTCATTATCTTATTTAGCATAGTCTCAGTTAGTGAGGAATATTAGTATTGTTACATCTCCGTTTGTTAATTGATTTCCCGCAAATTCGTTCCGACGAAACTTTAGCGACACAAGTCCTTACTTAATAAAACTGGTTTATTCTTTCCGAATATAACTTTACGATACACTTAATTTCAACATTCGCGCTAAAACAAACGCTATAACGAACGTATCACGAGCTAGACTTCAACAATACGTCTCTATCTGACTGCAGTTCAATTACTCATTA